ATCTATAATTAATAATCTATATACATTTCATGAAATGTATACATTATCAAAGAAGTTTCGTTTTTTTGGCGAAAAACCCTGATCCCAAGGAGAAGAGTGAGCCTTGGGAGCCAGGAGATGTTGCCTTTGAGGCTGGAAGCAAGTCGATGAAGTCCTTGAAAAATGGATTTTCAGCTGAGCCACGGAAGCGAGGTCTTCGCGAGGCTGTAAACCAATCGAGGTCGTCAAATGGAACCTCAGAAACTGAGACATCAAGAAATTCCGAAAATTCACAGCTTCCAACTTCAACTTTCGTCAACTCGAAGTCTCCAAGCGTCTCCAATGGAACTGGGCCGCAGCCGTCGCCGCGTTCGGCCTGGGGCGCTCGCTTTCCGGGGAGCTGGACGGGGCACGCCACAGCGCGGCGGCGGAGATCTCGGAGGCGACACCCGGTGCCCATGGGGCCAAGAAGATGATGGCACAGATAGCACAGATTGTACAGTGAAGAGCACCTCAACCTGGGGAGTTCTAGGTGAACCTTCCCTGGATGGGTAGAATTTCTCATCCGCTCGTTTTTTGGTATGGGATTACCTACGTGAAAACCAGCTAAAAATTTGTAATGAGTTCACCGGATTATTGTAATCCATGGGAAATGGGATGGAAATGGGATGGAATTGACATGATTGAACATGATTAGACCATCGAAATAAGGGACTTAACTATTGAACATTGGGAATTCACCTGGAATTTCACAGTGAAAAATGCTTCGTAGAATTACAATACATATTTAAATGCATGGCGGTTTTTGAGCCATTCCATGTGAGTTTAACCAACCAGAATATGTTGAAATATATCTATAATGAGATTAATATGTTTTTTGGGGGTTTGAAGATCCAGTCATTCTGCCAGTAATTTGATGTTCATTAAGAAGTCCCCAGTGCTGAGAAGTGTTTCGGGAGAACCACAGTTGAAGGCTTTTCCTGAATGTTTGAGGCCTGTTTCCGCACATGTTTGGCTGGCAACTTTGAAAGTCAGCCATGGAAACGTCTCCCAAAACTCCATGGATTTTAGTGTAAAGCACTCCTGTGCCACTAGAGCTAGAGCGACCTAGACCTCTTGTGGTGCAGGGGAAATTTTGTTTGCTGCATCTGGCATTTGGAGCTGCTCTGCTCCCTGGTGAAGTTTCATGACTGTATCTGCCACCTGATGTGATTTTAGTTCATGTTGACACAGTTCTCAGTCATCTGTCAAGGAATCCTGATGGGATTATCAGCATATATACGTGTATATATATATATATGTATATATATATGTATATATATATTAATGTCAAACTAACTGTGATTATGTCATGAAAAATATTGTTGTAATATGCATATGTTATATAATTATTATATATATATATATAATTAATTTTGTATAATTTATTATATACAATTAATTTTATATAATTAATTAAATATATAATCAATTATAGATAATTGTCATTATATATAATTATCATTATATTTGTTGATTGTAGTATTATTGTTTATAATTACCATTTATAATTGCAGTATATATTTATATGCGTATAGTAACACATAGCTTATAGGTATAGTATGGTATAAATATAGCCCACAGCCTCCAAATGCAGAACATTCAAGGCCAACAGAAACTACCGTGGCGCGCGGACTTTTTGGTTCCGCCATGAACAGAAAACGAATGGGGCAGCGGGACATAAAGAATTGGGATGTGCAGGGATCCAGTTGGGCGTTTCTTAAAATGGGGGACCCCAAAAACTATGGGGTTCAATACTAAACTGGTCTAATGACTTGGATGATTTTGGGGGTGCCTCCATTTTATGAAACCTCCAGCTGTCACACTTTTCAGGTATGCGTCTTGGGCATTTGAGATGTAGTACATCTTCTTGAAATTGAGGCGAGAAGGCTTGTCAAAAATGAGGAAGCTCCTTTTGGTACCATGGACGCTGACCCTGCAAGAATGGCCCCCGCAGTTGTGCTGGCACCCTATCGAACTGGAGAGATATCCGTCAATCCCAGGAAGTTAGTGAAATTTCCACCAACTTGCCATGAATTTCTCTGTGAAGTGCCCTGCGTGAAATCCCAATGCATGTTGTGGCCACACATTGGGATATGATTTCGGGAGATATCTGGCTGAATTTGATGAAGGGATTATGATATATTATGGTATGGAGTTTGAATGATTATGATATGGATAAGGATTATGATATGGATCCATCTGGAATTCCGTTGGTAATGTCAACCCTGATTAATAAACCCCAAACGGCTGTTTAATTGGGAGGGTACCATCAAAAAGTATCAGATGAAATGACTATTGGAGGAGTACCCCTAATTAATAAACCATGGTTTATTTTCATCTGGGGTTGACATTATCTGGATATGATTTCGGGAGATATCTGGCTGAATCTGATCATGAGACCACGTCGACTTCATGACGGACTCATGTGAACTCTATGGAATTGTGAGAATCGCAGAATAAGTCTCTAAACGGCCGAACTGTCGAAGGTTGTGAATTGGTATATATAGATGATGTATGCATGATGCGCAGTAGAGGATGTAAGTCATGTAGGTTATTTAGATGATGTACATGATGAGTGTGAAGTAGATGAAGTGGTAGTTGATTGAAATCGATGTACTTGATGTAGATGATGTGGTCATGTGATGTAGATGAAGTTGATGTAGATGATGTAGGTGATGGAAAGGAAGATGTTGTGTGGATGACAAGAAAAGAGATTGAATTTGGCAGCAGTTGTTTCGGACAAACCCTTCGCAGGAACTTTCGGGAAATTATGGAACACACTAAGAAATCAAAAGCACAAGGACATAGTTTCTTATGTGTTTCTCGAATTTGAATAGCGATAACATGCGATAACACCTTGCCTAAATTTAAAGACTTGGAGCCAGAAACTAAACTGACCATGGCCGATACTTGTATCATGAAGTTCATAGATAGCAATTGGATGAGGAAAGTAATTTGCAAAATACCGCGGATGAATTTTCGGAATTTCCAATGCACCCCGTAGATTCCAGCTGATTGGATGTGGGATTTTTTTCAGTCTGTCCGCCGGTCGTGTCCGTTGCTCTGTCTGTCTGTCTGTTTGTCTGTTTGTCTGTTTGTCTGTCTGTTTGTCTGTCTGTCTGTTTGTCTGTTTGTCTGTTTGTCTGTCTGTTTGTTTGTCTGTTTGTTTGTTCGTCTGTTTGTCTGTTTGTCTGTTTGTTTGTCTGTTTGTCTGTTTGTCTGTTTGTTTGTTTTTCTGTTTGTCTGTTTGTCTGTCTGTTTGTCTGTCTGTCTGTTTGTCTGTCTGTCTGTTTGTTTCTTTGTTTGTTTCTTTGTTTGTTTCTTTGTTTGTTTCTTGGTTTGTTGGTTTGTTGGTATGTTGGTTTGTTGGTTTTGTTGGTTTGTTTTGTTGGTTTGTTGGTTTGTTGGTTGTGTTGGTTTGTTGGTTGTGTTGGTTTGGTTGGTTTGGTTGGTTTGGTTGGTTTGGTTGGTTTGGTTGGTTTGGTTGGTTTGGTTGGGTTGGTTGGGTTGGTTTGGTTGGGTTGGTTTGGTTGGTTTGGTTGGTTTGGTTGGTTGGTTTGGTTGGTTTGGTTTGTTTGGTTTGGTTGGTTGGTTGGTTTGTTTGGTTGGTTTGGTGTGTTGGTTTGGTTGGTTGGTTTGGCTGGTTGGTTTGTTTGGTTGGTTTGGTTGGTTTGGTTGGTTTGTTTGTTTGGTTTGTTTGTTTGGTTTGTTTGTTTGGTTTGTTTGTTTGATTTGTTTGTTTGGTTTGTTTGTTTGGTTGGTTGGTTTGGTTTGTTGGTTTGTTTGGTTTGTTTGGTTTGTTTGTTTGTTTGTTTTGTTTGTTTGTTTGGTTTGTTTGTTTGGTTTGTTTGTTTGGTTTGTTTGTTTGGTTTGTTTGTTTGGTTTGTTTGTTTGGTTTGTTTGTTTGGTTTGTTTGTTTGGTTGTTTGTTTGGTTGTTTGTTTGGTTGTTTGGTTGTTTGGTTGTTTGGGTGTTTGGTTGTTTTGTTGTTTGGTTGTTTGGTTGGTTGGTTGGTTTGTTGGTTTGCTGGTTTGTTTGTTGGTTTGTTGGTTTGTTTGTTAGTTTGTTGGTTTGTTTGTTGGTTTGTTGGTTTGTTGGTTTGTTGGTTTGTTGGTTGGTTGGTTTGTTTGTTTGTTTGTTTGTTTGTTTCAATGTTTCATTGTTTCATTGTTTCATTGTTTGTTTGTTTGTTTTGTTTTGTTTTGTTTGTTTGGTTTGTTTGTTTTGTTTTGTTTTGTTTTGTGTTGTTTTGTTTTGTTTTGGTTGGTTTTGTTTTGGTTGGTTTTGTTTTGGTTGGGTTTGTTTTGGTTGGGTTTGTTTTGGTTTGTTTGTTTGTTTGTGTGTGTGTATGTATGTATGTATGTATGTATGTATGTATGTGTTTCGCTTACCCGTCCTGCAGCCAGAAATAACGTTCCCTCCTTTTCTCCAAGCGTCGGGTTGGGGTGCTCATATGTTTTTATATGTTTTTTGTTTTCCCTGTAATCGTCTGTTCTCCAAAACGAAAACGCCACTATTGCAGCTCGCTGTGTGGGCGCAAACCTGTTGCAGGTCATTCCCTAGTAGCTACCTAGCATATACTCCACAAGTTTTTGCTAGATACAGCGTAAATTTGTGATCGCTTCAGGAGGTTGGTCGTCCTGCAACATAAAAATGGGAACTTTATTGGTGCGTTTTGTGCGTTATTTCTGTATGGGCTCAAGCTGTCAATTTAACGCTGAAATTTCAAAACAAGGAAACACACAAACACCGAAAACATGTTCGACATTTTGTCGCTAGTTCCATTTCATCGCCACAAAATGATTCAACATCGGCATACGGAACTTGAAAGAGAACCGGTGATGATTCCGCTGTTGACGGTTCATATGGTGTGCCTCATCTTTGGCTCTTTGAATTTTGAGACTCCCTTTTCCGATATGTTCCGAAAAAATTGACCACCAGTTCATTATTTACATCACAAAGGGCTTATATGTGCCGATATGGGCCGGTCATGCCCGTTTTTGGCTGAGTGCGATGGCGCCATCATCACGTTTATTGGAAGATTTTGAGGCCCAACGTGGATATGATGAGCATGTGGAGGAACCGTTGGAAACCAACAAAGTGCGATTTTTCGGTATGATGGGTTCTTCGGTTGCATGCACGCAGGCTTCCAGAATTGTGGCAGCACATGACAGCACCTCCCCAGAAAAAATTAAAGGACCGGATAACCCCACAAGTCAACTTCTTCCAATAAAGAGCAAGACATGTTGTAGCGGGGACGGGGAAGGAAGGAAAGACAAAGGAGGAGGTGGAGGAAAGATGGTGTGTGACAAAGTTGTGTGTGTGTGAAAGATGATGTGTGAAAGATGGTGTGTGACAAAGTGGTGTGACAAAGTTGGTGTGTGAAAGATGGTGTGTGAAAGATGGTGTGTGACAGAGTGGTGTGTCAAAGATGGTGTGTGACAAAGTTGTGTGTGAAAGATACTGTGTGAAAGTTGTGTGTGAAAGAGAGGGTGTGACAAAGCTGTGTGTGAAAGATGGTGTGTGACAAAGTTGGTGTGTGAAAGATGGTGTGTGAAAGATGGTGTGTGACAGAGTGGTGTGTCAAAGATGGTGTGTGACAAAGTTGTGTGTGAAAGATACTGTGTGAAAGTTGTGTGTGAAAGAGAGGGTGTGACAAAGTTGTGTGTGAAAGATGGTGTGTGACAAAGTGGTGTGAAAGATGGTGTGTGAAAGATGGTGTGTGACAAAGCTGTGTGTGAAAGATGGTGTGTGACAAAGTTGTGTGTGACAAAGTGGTGTGTGAAAGATGGTGTGTGACAAAGTGGTGTGTCAAAGATGGTGTGTGACAAAGTTGTGTGTGAAAGATGGTGTGTGAAAGAGGGCGTGTAAGCCGCGGGCCAGCGGCGGCCATGCGTGCAGCAGCTCCTCCAGAAGGCTCTGTGAACCGCGCCTGCCGCTAGAAAGCCAGCCGCGGGCCAGCGGCGGCCAGAAGGATCTGTGTACTGCGCCTGCCACACGACAGCCATCCGCGGGCCAGTGGCGGCCGCACGCGCAGCAGCTCGTGTAGAAGGCTCTGTGTAGTGCGGCTGCCACACGACAGCCAGTTGGTGTGTGACCACGCACGCAGCAGCTTTTCCAGGAAGCTCTGTGTACCGTGCCTGCCACACGACAGCCAGCCGCGGGCCAGCGGCGTCCACGCACGCAGCAGCTCCTCCAGAAGGATCTGTGTACTGGGCCTGCCACACGGCAGCCAGCCGCGGGCCAGCGGCGGCCACGCGTGCAGCAGCTCCTCCAGAAGGCTTTGTGTACTTTGCCGCCACACGACAGCCCAGTTGGTGTGACCACGTGCGCAGCAGCTCCTCCAGAGGGTTCTGTGTACTGCGCCTGCCACACGACAGCCAGTTGGTGCGTGAGCTGAGTGCTGTGTGATGAGTTGGTGTGAGAACCATGTGTGGTGTGAGATGTGTGTGATGAGTTGGTGTGAGAGCCATGCGTGGTGTGAGTTGGTGTGTGAGCTGAAGGCTGTGTGATGAGTTGTGCTGTGATGAGTTGGCTCGGGTGGTGTGAGAGCAGGCGGCGCGGAGGCGGAAGGCGGAAGGCGGAAGGAGCGGCGGGCGCAAAGCGAAAAACAAGAACCTGCACACAGTGATGTGGGGAATCAAATTATGCGTTATTATGTATTAGTATTTATATATATATATTATATTACCATATATTACCAATGTTCTCCCTTCAATGTGACCGGAGCAATTGGTGCCCAAAAAATGGGTGAAAATTCTGGGCACAGGCGGCAAAAAATATATCCACCAAACTACCAATTTAACCATGGGTCGAAATACCCGACTTGGTCTTTAAGCTGAGGTTTCTTTGGGTTTCTGTTGGTGACATCATTTGTGAAATCAATGCCGGCATCCAATCGTGGCATTGATGCAGCGGAGCCAACGGATTTTTTTGACAATTTTTTTGAAGAACCTGTGATTTGGGTGGAGGGACAAAAATACACTTCTGTGCAGTACTTGGGTTTCAATTTGTTGCTTGGCGTTGCACAGCACATGTTGCAATTTGTCGTTTGTTTGATTTTTTTGTTCCTTTTTCCAGTTTATTCATATTGAAGGTATATTTTCACCGTCGTGGTGATTTCATTGGGTGCAACGAAGTTTTGGTTCCCAACCATGTTATAACTATGCAGGTTCACAGCTCCTGGCACAGAAGCTGATGGTTGCTTGAATGTCGGAGAAAACATCGATGCGTGCTACTTGGGAAGTCCCGAAGTGCTCAATGCCAACTGCCATTTGCGCAGCAACTTTTATAAAACGGTGAAGTGAAGTGTTTGAATGCATCAATAGATCCGCAAGGATCCATGTGTTATTTATTTCTGATTTTTTTTGAGTTTGGTTCATGACCATTTGTGCCATCCAATAAGGCAGCAATAATGCCTCAGCGTGTGTGTTTCAGATTGCTTCAGGATACGCAGCACCGCCTGAGCATCTTCACACAAGCCATTGATCGCGCCTATGCTTCGGAATATTGGGATCGAAACCCAGAGACGCTAAAAATTTTCCTGGCGCCAGAGCACCTCAACTGATTTGCATGGTGCTGACGGTGTTGTTTGATATTTGTTTCCAGTTCAATTCCATTTTTAACACTATAGACTATAGTCTGTGCGAGTTCAAATATTGCGCTATAAATTTTGAAACCTACTTAAGGTTGTTTTCCATCTTTAGTTTGCGAACTCTCCTGGCTCAGGTTCTACTGGCGTGGTCAAAAAGGTGCATATCGCATTGGCCCTTCCTTGAACCTGGCATCCGAAATTGCGGTGAAGTCTTTGTCTGGTAAACTTCGCCATCAGCGTTTCAAGCATTGGATCGTGGTAGCTGCCTCAGTTTCCAAACATTATCAAAATATTATCAACATATCGTACAGCAGTTGTAGCGGCGACTTCCTTGTGCATTTGTTGCATGGTTCTCACGGCAGGTACCTGGAACTGTAGTCATGGTTCAGCACGCTGACCAGAGCTATGTGGAGATGTCGCATCGGCCCTATGAAAACATCAGCTACTACAATTTTGCACCCATTCACATTGGGGGTACGGACCTGAGCCGTGGCAAAGAGTGACATTTGGTGCAGCAGTACATAGCAGCACACATCAGACGCATTGAACGAGCTGCCGTCCGAAACATCCAAGGATGTACTTGAAATTCAAAAATTTTATCAGCAGCATCGATTTCCTGCAAATCACTCCAGGCGTTTCACGCCAAGTGCGCTCCTGCTGAATTAATATATTTTTTGTTGAGACCACTTTTCAATTGAGGCATTCACTAGGGCACATGAACTTAGTGGCTGACCACTCCTTCCCTTTGATTGTGTCAGTTGTATGGAAGTTTTCTATTAGTTGTCTAATCTTTATGCCTCAATCGGAGTCGTGATACCTATATTTACATCATATCTAAGATCTACTTGTAAAAGTTGTGGGGTGAAAACTTGGAAACCCAGTACTTTATTTTGGCCCTGGTTCGCAGTCTGCATGCGCCAAGTCTTTTTGGGCGAAATTTCTGAGGCAGGCTCCACCAGGCAGGGCCCATGAATTCTGCAAGAAACATCCAGACTCCAACGGCTGCATATATCATAGACTTCCTCGACATCTTCTAGATCAGATGGGCTGGCAAGACTTCCAAATACTCAGAGGAGGAATCTTGAACATTGGAGGCGTCCGAGTTGGATTTGCGCCTGGTCTTCATTTTTTCCGAATTACACCTGACCCTGCGAGCTTGTTATCTGTTATTATTATTATTATTATTGTGATTGTAAAGTGGTTTTGTGCAATGTGGGTTTTTTAGGGTGTCCATTTTAGTAATGTTTGCAGAGGCTGACTAACGGTTGTTATCTTTGTTTGTTTGTTTGTTTGTTTGTTTGTATGTACTGGACTGAGGAAATATGTTTGGACCACGCGATGGGTCAGCTTTGCAATAATGATTTGAAACCCGATGAGACTGTGGATGTGCAAACGAAGCTTGGCAGGGCAGAGGATCATGATTAAACCAGGCATACCGAGTATAGTTGAGGTGAAATTCATTAATATTATTTGATATTCATTAATGGACACAGACCAAAGCTGAGGCAGATGCAGCCAAAATTGCAATACCCTTGCCTTAGAGGTTTCTAGGATTTTCTGAAATGGAAAGACATTACAAAATCTGTGAGCAAGATTTCAGTGTTGTTCATTGATTTAATTGTTGGAAGGTAAATTGACAATTTTGATCATAAAGAATTACTGTAACAGCGTGCACACACACACACACATATATATATTATACATAGGTATACATAATGATGATTATATATATATGTATAGACAAAATTGTTTATTCCTATATCTAAAATGTACAAAGAAACCAATTCAGTCCCAGCCCCAGTCTTTCTCCAAGCTCTTTTCCAAAGGATCGTATCAGCTGGCATGAATGTAGCATCTGGCCCAGTTTGCACCAAGACACTTGGCACATCTTGGCACCATCGGATGTATTCCTAATTCTGTTGAACCTGGACAGGGTCGCTGTGTTGGTAGCCGCTGCCATTTAAGCGACTATAGATTAAATAGAATGGCAAATGATATATATATATATATTATATATATATATATGGGTAACTATATGATACTGACACTTAGCAACTATATGAATTAGAACCCATTTTTTGTTGGCAACTGCAGGTCCTGATTCCAAGATTTCCCGAGGCCTGGCGGCCCAACGTTTCTGGCCGATGGCTTTTCGCGAACCGAGCTCTCACTGAATCGTTTTGGGCAGGGCAGAAGAAGCACCATGACGGAAGCAAAAAGGAGGCGCTACAACGTTGGGCTGACCTATGGAGTCTTGGGCGGCACTGGTTGGTCCAGTGGTGGTTGGAGGGGGATTCTGGGATCAAAGACATTCCAAAGAGCCTTTGATTCATTTCGATTCCTCTATTAAAATTCTGTACATTTTCATCATTTTCTAGAAACTTTAGTGCAGTCGGCTGATGCGACACCCGTACAGATAGATCCTGATTTTGAGACCAAGCCATTGAAATCAAGCAGCATGCCAGACATGTGTCAGAAGTTGTCAGATGTTTTCGTTTTTCCTCAGTTCCAATTGGTATGCAGCATGTCCTATGCCCGGTTCGCAAGGAGCAGACGCCATGGTCTCCATGCAGCAATGGGTGGCCGACACCATCTATGACCTCACTGGAACAGGCCACGGCTTAGTGTTGAAATCAGAAGTTTGGTGGCGAGTTGGGTGAATTTTGTGTAGTTTGGCGGCTATTGATGGTTTTTTTCAGCTGAACCTAACATATCCACATATATCATCATATATCATCATATATCCACATATCACTACATATCATATCCCATCACATCCCCTCATATCCCATCTATATCGCTGGAGCCCGCATGGGCTCCTGACCTTGGCAAGCGGCAAGCGGCAAGCGAGGCTTCGGCACCAGGGAAGCTGGCATGGGAACCCTCCCAGGTGGAAGCGAAAGCGCTGGAAGCACCGGCATCGTTTTCAAACAGATCGCGGCCCTTGGGGAGGCAGAGTCCTATGGCTTTGATATGGGAATGGGGATCAAAATCCACCATGGCCGGGGATGTCAGGGGATGAAATAGCTGTATGATGGGACTCCAGGAGTGGGAAGAACTGTTTGCTGGGTACTACGCCACTGCCAGCTACAAAGAAGCCCAGCGCGCGGAAAATCTACTTGAGAGCTCCTTGAAAAGGTTCGAGACTTGCCTGGGAGATCTTGGGATAGTGATCTAGCATATACCTAACCAATGGGATAACGGGATGAATACCTCCTTGCTATGGTGGCATTGTGAGATGCCAGACCTCTTCCACACAGCTCATTTGGCTGGAATCACCATTTCTCGGAATTGGTGCACTATCACTTGCATTTCTCTAAGTGTATTTAGGTGTGCTGACCTTATTTGCTTAATTGGTCGTGTTCCATCCACATTAGTATTCAGCAAAACTAGAATGCTTTGAACATCATTCCGAAGATGGGAGAGGTGAGGAACTGCTAGTTCACAGGGAGGAAACATCTGGCCACCTTTTCCGGTAGACTTGTATTTTCAGCTGCTCTCCCATAAAGAATCTCTACATTTAGTAAGGCTAGATTCCGAATCAACATTTGGCTTCTACACGATCCTAAACGCCACAGTGGAACGCGTGCCTCTCCATGCCTCACCCACATTTTGTCCAGCTGTCCTTTACCGTTGGTCTAAGGAGAAGAAGGAGGAAGGCGCGGTGGAGACAGAGATCCCAGAGCCCAAAGTGCTTCCAACCGTCGATTTCTATGGCCCCTTGAAGCTGCCCAAATGAGGCCAGGTCAAGGCTTCAAGGATCATATTGCCAAGAAGGTCATTGATGCGGGGTGGATTGGATCTAGGCCTTTGAGGTGTATCCGAGTGTATCCATGTATATTAACCTTTGCACTCAAGAGGGGTTGCCAGTTGCCAGTGGGAATTGGGTTTCCTCAGTCAGTCGCTTTGATTCTCCAAACGTGCCCCGACTAGGTCTGGTGTAACGTGCAATCAAGCTTCTGGTATGACAAGACGCTATAGGGCTTTAGGGTGGTCACAGCAAACGTGTCAAGCTCATCAAGGCTACGTTGCTAACCACTTGGATATATTGCTTCAACGGTTCCATATGGTATTCCATATGGTTCCATGATGTTTAATTCCATTAAGACAAGAGATTTTAAAATTGCCCGTGATGCGGGTGAGCAATCTATCTCTTGCTCTCCCACCATCAAATGTGCTTGGTGTAGATAGATTGTAGATAATTAGGATGGTCACGGGGCTCAATCTTGATGGTGCCGACTCAAGGGTCAGCTGTGGAAGACTTTGACTCGAGAAACAAAGGCTCGCGTTCTTCCGTCATTTTTTCTGTGATAGTGCCGGAGAACCGCACCATCTTGGTTCCAGGTGGGCCTTGTTATGTTTCTTAAGCATTGTTTGTGGAATCCTGAAAAAAAAGACTTGGGTGCTGCTTGCATTTCATATTGTTATGCTGAACATGACTGTTTGCAGGGCAACACCAATTGAACCCATTCATAGAAGGCTAGGAGAGAAAATTAGGATCAGAGCCATAGAGGGACCGAGAGAGAGAGAGAGAGAAGGTACCCCAGCTTGCTGTAGTGCACTGGTAGGTGCACAGTGAAAACCTCTCTCAGGGTTGGTTCCATGTCTTTTCTTGGCCCTTCGGACGCTCACGGAACCCAACCAATACAGCTGGTCCTATCGGCTAAACGTGCCAAGAAAGGTCACTGAAATGCCACCGTTGGAGTTCCCTGAACCTTGCCCAAGCCCGTCCAGATTCAACTTGCAATATGTAGCAATTAACTAAAACTAGAAACACCATGAAGCACCCTCAAACATTGTGATCATCATTGAAACCTCATGAAATGCCATCACATTCCAAACAGACCCCTGCAGACAAAAAGGTCGGAGGACAAAAAAACAAAGGTCACACAGCCACAGAAACTTCGCTGCCAAAGATCAGCTCCCGCCATGACCAAAACGCCTTCGAAACTTCAGCGAGTTGGACCATCCTGCCACTGGGCACAAATCAGCGAGAAATATATTGATGAGTGAAGGACAAAATCCAACCAAATCACCTGATCACTATAGGATCTATAGGTGTTTGATGGTGTTTTTTCTGGGGCATCTCAATATCAATATCTCAGTGCTACTTCTGGTTGTGACAGCCTTGAAGACGTGTCCTCAGTCAAAGTAGAGTAGAGTCCAGACGTTTGGAAGAGGGAGCAGGGAGGTGGAGATAGGTGGTTGGAGTGATATGCCGGTTCAACCCATGCCTAATGGTTTCTTCAGGCTTTGGTCAATGACCATGCGCTTCAGTTGGTCTCAGACACGGGCTTCTTGGGCGGAAGCAGAGTGAGCCCGAAAGATGTTTGGGCAAGGGGTTGCCATGGCTGTCCAACACAACACTGAGAGTTAGCGCTGTCGAAGTATCAAAAAACGCAGAAAATGGAACAGTTACAGAAATTCCCAACTCAACAAATATTTGCATATTCTTGCACCCTGTTGGCCAACGATTTGTCGCATCATGTTGCGTTTAATCGAGGCAGCTCAATCCGCCTGTCGCGGACGTGAAAGCGGCTCATTGCCCCTTGATCCAGGGGAAGGTGTTGAATGAGAGTACGGTCCCTGCAGTAAATCAGCCTGAAACACGTTAAGCGCATTGTTGTGAATATATAATCAAAATATCATAAGAAATCATGAGTATAACGAATACATACTGCTTATATAATATATTATTTATTTTCTTATTTTAGTTCGAAACCATTGGGACCCATAGCCTGAGTTCAATCCAGACGAGCACTCGACATCCAAGCAGCCCCACAATTTTACACAAATTCTCCGAAGGTTTTTGCCGTGTCCATGCAGCTAGGATCAGCATGCAGCAATATATGCAGATGATTATTCGCCGTCCCAACGAAACCGATATATAAAAACATTATAAATTATAAAGCAACCAACATCCCACCCCCTGCCCAACATTTTACCCAACTCCTGCCAAAGTCCAGGGGGGCAGAATCATTCTGTCACCAAAGTGTCACCAGTGTCACCAGCCACTGTCCAAGGTTCCATTTTGATTGGCCAAAAGCTGCAGGTCAAAGTCTCAGAGAGCTGGAGCTGCAGGACGTATGACCTCGAATTATTGGGTGTCTTCGTTTGGCAAAATTGCATTGCTATGTCTTGCCCCATTCTTGCGAATTCATTCATCATACCTATCAATCTATCTATAGCATTCTATAGCTGCATACGCAGACGGATAAATTGTTCAGCGTTCATGATATACATGATCGAGCAGCATCGGCATGTAACTTTTTGTTGATTTCGGGGCATCACCATCAGCAATTTGTAGCTATACAATCTATACATCATGGTACTATACTATCCCTATGTGACCCAGTGTTTCTCTGCCAGCTCCCCCAGGGCCAGTTTCCAACAGCCGACCGAGACGGCCTGCCTGAAATGTCCCGAGGTTTGGGGTGTCATTGCGACCTTCTGGATACGTGGAGTGATGGCAGCGGGGTTTCCCCGGACACGATCAGTTTCTGCCAGGGAGGGTGTGGATGCGACATGATGCGACGGTGTTTTGCACGTTCAGACCATTGGGTGCAGGTGGGTACCAGATCAGTAGCAACATGTAGCAACATCGATAAATAACATAAAATAGCATTATATATTATGTAGTGTTTGGCTCACATCAGAGGGATGCCAGTTCCATCAGGATTCCCAGAAGGTGAGACAGTATCCGAACTCCCACGTCTCACCAAGAAAACCGATGATTCTGGGGAGCGACTTGGAAGTTGCGATGCTCACTTGTCGGCCTTGAGTGGAGAGATTCGCTATTTGCAAGATGCTCTTGATAGAGCCCTTCTGGAGAACAAACATTTGCGTGCGATCTTGAAAAGGCAAAATTTGATCGTAGAGCCTGATGATGATGCAGAGGCACCCGAATCTACGGAGCCATCGATGAAGGGTGAATCAGCCAAACGCCTACCCATGTTGTTGAGATCGCCAACACCAGGGGGATTGACAGAGGATGCACCTGAGGTGCCACAGGGAAACAGGAGAGATTGGCGTGGATGTGTGGCGCAAGTGCTGGAATTTGGTCCGCCTATTGTCATAGTACTGAATTCCATCACTATCGCTTTTGACGATGTCATTGCAGATAAGAGCACCAAGAATCTCATCGAGTCACTTTTTGCTGGCTTGTATTTCATTGAATTCCTGCTGAAAATTAAGCTCCTGGGCTGGCGTGGTTACTTCTGGGAGGACAACTGGCAATGGAATTGGTTTGATTTCATTTGCCTTTTGTGCGCGCTGTTGGAGTTTATTGCCCTTGTGGTGTCACTTCTTGGCATGGAAGCTGCAGCCTTCTTGGATGATGTCACAGTGGTGAGGGTCTTCCGTTTGGGTCAACTTATGCGGACGGTGCGTGTGCTGAAGTTCAAGATGTTCAGTGAGTTGCGGCAAATCACCATGGGCATCATGAACGGTTGTGAGGTGCTTTTCTGGGCGGTGGTTCTTCTCTTTGCCGTCATCTATGTCTTTGGTGTCCTGATGCGGAACATTGTTGGAGGTGCCATGGATGAGTTCAAGAACATTCCCAACTCAATGTTTACCCTCTTCCGTTGTTTCACTGATGGTTGCTCAGCCTATGATGGAGCTCCCTTAGCTGAACGTTTGAGGGAGATGTATGGCACACCTTTCACGGTGGGCTATGTTTGCGTCACCATGCTGGTTGCCATTGGCATTTTCAATATGATTATGGCAATTTTCCTTGAAAATGCTACAACCTCAGCTGCCCATCGGAAACAAAAGGAACTGGGGGAAAAGGCTGATGCAACAGAGTTGGCTATCCGAAAAGCCATTGTGCAGATGGTGGACCCTTCTGTCATGGAGAGGGCTGGAGACCGTGGCACTTTGGGCTCCAGGGTCACCCAATTTCTGGATGCCCGAGCCCAGAAATCCTTCAGAAAGCAGTCGATGGGACAGAGTGCTGTACTCTTCTGGCGGGCTCAGTATGAGCTCCTGCAAAACAGTGGCGTCACTGTCGATCGGAGAACCTTTATGCAATGGCTTCAAGAGCCAAATTTCCTGCAAGTGCTGGAGAATGCAGATGTTGATGTCTCCAATAAGTTCGACTTGTTTGATGTTCTTGATGCTGACATGGGTGGCAAACTTGAGTTGGACGAGGTTGTTACTGGTCTCATGAAGCTCCGTGGGCCTGTTTCCAAGAGTGATTTGGTGGCCATGAGATTGCAAGTGCGCCTGTTGACCCAGAAAGTCATCGCAGATTGACTGATTTGGATACTATACGCATCATATGCTGGACTCTCCCGAAGGGTTTTGTTAACGAGTCCTGCCAATTCAGTGCATGCGTCGGAAGTTGTCATCGGGCATTCTTGGCAAAAAAAATGTGCTGTTTCTGATCGGTTCCTGTTCTCGCAACTCTACTTTGGGTACTTTAGGTTTATGAAAATCTTACCAGCAAACTCTGAGGGTTGTTGGTTATTTATTTTTGTCATTTTTTGGTCATTTTTTTGTCATTTGGTTTTGCATTTTTTTGTCATTCCTGTTTTGTGGTGTCATTTTTTTGTCATTTGTTAAGTCATTTTTTTGTCATTTTCTTGTCATTTTTTGTCGTTTTCTTGTCGTTTTCTACTTTCTAGCATTGTTCATTTTCTTGTCGTTTTCTCATAAGGATCAGGCAAGCGGTGAAGGTGGCAAACCCGGTCTAGGAAATGCAAAAAATTGCAAAAAATGACTCCCGGTTTGGGAAATGCAAAAAAAATGCCAAAAAAATGACTCCCAGTCTGGGAAATGCAAAAAAAATGCAAAAAAATGACTCCTAGTCTGGGAAATGCAAAAAAAATGCAAAAAAAAAAGCGAAAAAAATGCGAAAAAAATGCAAAAACAATGCAAAAAAAATGCAAAAAAAATGCGAAAAAAATGACTCGCGTGCTGGTAAAGTTGCGTTTTTGGAGTTTCCAGGTCGGCCCCGCTTCTCGGGCCTGAGCCGCCCCCCCGGGCCATTTCACCCCGGCCCCGCCCCCCCACCCGGTTTTTGAGCCGGCCCTGCACCCCGAGCCGGGAGACAACTCCTCGTCCAGGCAGGCCCAAAAACGAATTCCCCAGGGCAAGCTCCCCTGCCCTATCCTTCTTCACCGCCGGCTGGCTTTCCAAGAGTTTCTCCACTTGTTCCTTGTATTTGGTGCTGCCACGAGATAACAAAAGGTCTGTCATGGTAGTCATTTTTAAACAATGTTTTTTCTCCATTTTCCCGTTCCCAAAATGACAATAAAATGACAAACAAATGACAAAAAAATGACACAGAAATGACAAAGAAATGACAAAAAATGACAAACAAATGACAACACAAATCCAAAATGACAAACCCAAATGCAAAAAAAAAGCAACAAAAATGCAAAAAAATGACAAAATAATTATTTTGGAATTTCCAATGTTTGCAGGCCCAAGATTTTCCTAACTTTAGGTGGCATGTTTTTGCTCAGGCCCAAGCCAAGATGGCCCGTTTTTGATCTTCGTACAGCGTGAATTTGCTCTGTGTTCGCTGAAGGTTTACAGCTCGCAAAAGCGAGCCTGAGCATGGCAAGCATGGCCCAGCGGAGAGCAGTAGCCTTTCTGAATAAGAGCATTGCCAGGCCTCCTTTACCAGGCCAAATGATGAGTGCTTGCGGCATCAAAAAGACACGTGGTTATGGAATGTTTTGTTGGAGGTCAAGGCATTTTTCGAGATGCTATGGACACAAGCTGCATGCCGTGGGTCATTGGCAATCCTGCCAAACGGAACAGGACAGTTTGCCCTGACGATGTTCCTTCTACCACCAAGGAGGGGCCTTTGACTTTGATGGGCACCTCAGATCAACCATGCGGGCAGGTGAGAAGCTCAGCGGGCACAGAACCCATTGATGCGGTGGCGATTGGCTTTGGCAGTGGTTGCTTCGCAGCTGATTTCTTTCCTTTCTAAAGCCAAATGAAGCCGACATAATCATCATGCAATCATACGATATGGTATGCCAATTGTATCACATAAGATCACAGTCACATAAGCGATCATAAGCGTACTCACGGTCTTGAACCATATGAGCAAGGGTCAAAAGACGCTATGAAAGGCTTCAATTACGATCCGCCATCACTACTCAAAATATGTGATTTACTGTGTGTAGCGATAGGGGGCCTTATGTAGCGATACCTCTTTTTAGACTTTGTTTATGATTGAAGCTTCCTGTTGGGCGCATGACTTTCCAATCTTTTGGATTGGTAGCGCGTTTGGGTCCGGTATTCGTTTTCAGCCAGCCAGCCAGCCAGCCACAGCGGCCGATTCAGCCAGCCAGCCGCCAGCCACAGCGGCCGATTCAGCCAGCCAGCCAGCCAGCCACAGTGGCCGATTCAGCCAGCCCCACAGCGGCCGATTCAGCCAGCCAGCCAGCCAGCCACAGCGGCCGATTCAGCCAGCCAGCCAGCCACAATGGCCGATTCAGTCAGCCAGCCAGCCACAGCGGCCGATTCAGCCAGCCAGCCAGCCAGCCACAGCGGCCGATTCAGCCAGCCAGCCAGCCACAGCGGCCGATTCAGCCAGCCAGCCACAGCGGCCGATCCAGCCAGCCAGCCAGCCACAGCGGCCGATCCAGCCAGCCAGCCAGCCACAGCGGCCGATTCAGCCAGCCAGCCAGCCACAGCGGCCGATTCAGCCAGCCAGCCAGCCACAGCGGCCGATTCAGCCAGCCAGCCAGCCACAGCGGCCGATGCAGCCAGCCAGCCAGCCACAACAGAGGAGACTTCTAAAGGAAGACGTGGCTTCAAGCAAACAAGAGGACTTCGAACGAAAAGATAGGATTTGAAACGAAGAGAGGACTTCCAACGAAAGAGAGACCTTCAAACGAAAAGAGGAGACTTCGAACGAAAGACAAGGCTTCGAACGAGAAGAAAGGATTTGAAACGAAAGAGAGGACTCGAAACGAAAGAGAGGACTTCGAACGAAAAGAGAGGATTTGAAACGAAGAGAGGACTTCCAACGAAAGAAAGGACTTCTAATGACAGAGAGGATTTGAAACGAAGAGCGGACTTCCAACGAAAGAGAGGACTTCTAACGAAAGAGAGAATTCGAAACAAAAGAGACGCCTTGAAACGAAGAGAGGACTTCCAACGAAAGAGAGAATTCGATACAAAAGAGAGGCCTTGAAACGAACAGAGGAGACTTCGAACAAAAGGCAAGATTTCCAAGGAGAAGAAAGGATTTGAAACGAAAGAGAGGACTCGAAACAAAAGAGAGGACTTCGAACGAAAAGAGCGGATTTGAAACGAAGAGAGGACTTCCAACGAAAGAGAGGACTCGAAACGAAAGGCCTTGAAACGAAAAGAGGAGACTTCGAACGAAAGACAAGACTTCAAACTAGAAGAAAGGATTTGAAAGGGAAAGAGGACTGATCGCACTGAGCATTGCTGAACTGCATCTGACAGCTCCAGATCGCACTGGGCACTGCCGGACTTCTTCAGGGAGCTCCAGCTCGCACTGGGCACTGCCGGACTGCTACCGGGCGCTCCAGATCGCGCTGAACATTGCCGGACTTCATCTGCCAGCTCCACTCGCTCTGGGCACTGGCGAACTTCTACCGGGAGGTCCAGCTCGCACTAGGCACTGCCAGACTTGTACAGGAGCTCCAGATCGCACTGTGCACTGCCGGACTTCTACCGGGAGCTCCAGATCGCACTGGGCACCGCCGGACTTTATCAGCCAGAAAGAATGCATAAAGATATGCCAGATAGATTGCCAGAAAGAGTGTCAGAAGATATGCCAGACAGAATCTGAGAAGATATGCCAGATAGAATGCCAGAAAAGATGTCAGAAGATATGTCAGATAGAATGTCAGAAAGAGTGTCACAAGATATGCCACATAAAATGTCAGAAGATATGCCAGACAGAATGTGAGAAGATATGCCAGATAGAATGCCAGAAAGAATGTCAGAAGATATGCCAGATAGAATGTCAGAAGACATGCCAAATAGAATGTCACAAACAAGGGGGGGCCTGAGAACCCAAAAGCAAAACGACAGCAAACAAATTTGAGTAACAATTTATGTATTTCCGCTTCGCCTCTTGCCAGCTTCTTTTTAGAAGATGAACATTATGGACGCATTCACTGCAAATTTCATTTTTTTCAGCTCTGCACAGAAACATTGAGTGACAGTGTGCAATAGCCAAGCAATCTCATTTGAGCACGGTCATGCGACGGCGGTTGATTTCCAAATCAACCTCTCCTTTCCTTTCCCTTCCTTTCCCTTCCTTTCCTGTCCTTTCCCTTCCTTTCCCTTTCTTTCCCTTTCTTTCCCTTCCTTTCCCTTTCTTTCCCTTCCTTTCCCTTCCTTTCCCGTCCTTTCCCTTCCTTTCCCTTTCTTTCCCTTTCTTTCCCTTCCTTTCCCTTTCTTTCCCTTCCTTTCCCTTCCTTTCCCGTCCTTTCCCTTCCTTTCCCTTTCTTTTCCTTTCTTTCCCTTCCTTTCCCTTTCTTTCCCTTCCTTTCCCGTCCTTTCCCTTCCGTTCCTTTCCTTTCCCTTCCCTTCCTGTCCCCTCCGTTCCCTTCCTTTCCCTTCCTTTCCCTTTCTTTCCCGAATGCGTAGCAAGGGTTCCCGTTTCACTCTGGGGGTCTGGGGGTTGAGCGTGTGTTCGCTCGACGTTGCCCAACCGTCCGTAACCATTCGCAACCGTCCGCGGAAGGGTCATTTTCTTGGATGTTTCCCACGTCGCGTTGCTTCGTTTCGCGTGGCAGGCGTGGCACTTCGTGAAAAAATCATGTTGTGTGGCAGGCGCAAGGCTTTTGCGACGTTTTCAGAAAAGATGCCTTGCAGTTTTCGTGGCAGGCGCAGCATTTGGATGTGTCCATCTTCATTTTGCGTGTCAGGCGCAGCACTTTAGACGCGTCGTGTTGCGTGTTTTTTGCGAATCGCATTGGCAGGGCTGCGTCAAGTGGCGACAAGGTGCAGATTCCGTGGCAGGCGTGGCATTTTGTGAGATGTGCTGAAAATTGACGGAAGCCTCGCACGAAACATCGATTTTGAGGTAGCAAATTTAGAGGCTCCTATGAAAACTCGCAGGAAAACGTCGATTTTGAAGCTAAGTGTGAAAATTGGAGGAAGTCTCGCACGAAAGGCGCGTTTTGATGCTCCCACATCTCTCGTCTCGAGTCTCTGGTTTTCCTGTGGCGTCGCCGTGTCTATGGGGGAAGCTGCAAACCTTTCTTTTTCCAAGGTTTCCAAGCAGGTTGTCATGTCGTTTTGCATGGCAGGCATGGCACTTTGTGACATTCCAACCTGTTTAATAACAGTCGACAATGTCAAAATTGGAGGAAGTCTCGCACGAAATGCTCATTTTGCTCCGCCCACGTGTCTCGTCTCGAGTCTCTGGTTTTCCTGTGGCGTCGCCGTGTCTATGGGGGAAGCTGCAAAATCTCTCCTTTTCTTTGAAGGTTTCCAAGCAGGTTGTCATGTAGTTTTGCGTGGCAGGGGTGGCACTTTGTGACATGTCCCTTATGTTCCCTTCCTTTCCCTTCCTTTCCCACACCGTCCGCACACCACCGTTCAAAGCAGCTCGCTCCCCACGCGGTTAACCAACTAAACGAGAACCCAAGCATCAATTTAATAATTAGATACAAAAAATGCACACGCCAAGCGAGAACCCAAAAAAGCAAATCATCCTACCCCATGTCTCCACCATTCCCTGGCCCCACCCCCTTGCATCTATTTTATCAGTTAATCTATATGCGCACATAGCCAGCCAACAAGCAACCATTTTCCATGCTTGTTCTCCCAACCCATTTCCAGCCACTCCCTTGCAACCACTCCGTCCGCAGCCGTCCGTGCAGCCAAGCTCGCTCATCCCCAGCAGCTTCTTCTCCCCACCCATTTCCAGCCACTCCCTCGCACCCACGCGCACAGCCAAGCTCGCTCATCCCCAGCGTCTTCTCCCCGCCCATTTCCACCCACTCCCTTGCACCCACGCCGTCCGCAGCCGTCCGAGCAGCCAAGCTCGCGGGGCTTCTTCTCCCCACCCATTTCTAGCCACTTCTGCACCCACGCCGTCCGCAGCCGTCCGCGCAATTCTCCCCACCCAATTTGCCGTCCGCAGCCGTCCGCGCAGCCAAACTCGCTCATCCCCAGCGGCTTCTTTTCCCCATCCATTTCCAGCCACTCCCTTACACCCACGCCCTCCGCATCCGTCCGCGCAATTCCCCCCACCCGTTTGCCGTCCGCATCCGTCCGCGCAGCCAAGCTCGCTCATCCCCAGCGGCTTCTTCTCCCCATCCGTTTCCAGCCACTCCTTACCTTTTCCTTCCTTTCCCTTCCTTTCCCTTTTCCTTTCCCTTTTCCTTTCCCTTCTCCTTTCCCTTTCTTTCCCTTGCAGCCACACCGTCCGCACAGCACCGTTCAAATCAGCTCGCTCCCCCACGCGGTTAAACAATTAAACGAGAACCCAAGCATCGAAGATGCTTTTGGGAAAAAAGGCAGAGGACATGCCAGATAGAATGTCAGAAGACATGCCAGATGATAGAATGTCAGAAAGAATGTCAGAGGATATGCCAGATAGAATGCCAAAAAGAATGTCAGAAGACATGCCAGATAGAATGTCAGAAAAATGTCAAAGAACATGCCAGATAGAATGTCAGAAAAAATGTCAGAAGACATGCCAGATAGAATTTCAGAGAGACTGTCAAAAGATATGCCAGATAGATAGAGTGCCAGAAAGAATGTCTGAAGATATGCCAGACAGAATGCCAGAAAGAATGCCAGAAGATATGCCAGCTAGAGAGAGTCACGGTGGGGACCACTCGGAGCAAAGTAATTTTATATTATTGATTTTATGTTTAGTCATTTCCTAGCTGGTATCATGATGTCCAACCACTAGCCATTATTTTTCAGCTAATGGGTTTGCCGATTCACCCACACAAAGCGACCGGCCAGCCGATTCAGCCACACAAAGCGGCAGGCCACCCGAGTCAGCCACACGAAGCGGCCGGCCGGCAAATTCAGCCACGCACAGGGACCGGCCGGCCGCCGTGTGTGGCTGCAGCGGCGGCCGGCCGGCCGATTCAGCCACGCAGAGCGGCTGGCCAGCCGATTCAGCCACGCACAGCGGCCGGCCGGCCGATTCAGCCACACAAAGCGGCCAGCCGGCCGATTCAGCCACGCAGAACGGCCGGGGCCGATGCAGCCACCCGAAGCCACGTGGCGGAAGCGGCCGGCCGGCCGATTCAGCCATGCGAGATGGCCAGGAGGCCCAGCCGATTCAGCCACACAACCCAGCCGGCCGGCCTGCCGATTCAGCCACTCGACCCAGCTGGCCGGCTGGCCGATTCAGCCACTCGATCCAACCGGCCGGCCGGCCGATTCAGCCACTCGACCCAGCTGGCCGGCTGGCCGATTCAGCCACTCGATCCAACCGGCCGGCCGGCCGATTCAGCCACTCGGCCCAGCCGGCCGGCCGGCCGATTCAGCCACTCGACCCAGCCGGCCGGCCGGCCGGCCGATTCAGCCACTCCAGGATGAGCGGCCGGCCGGCCGATTTCAAATTTCAGCCCGGATTGCGCCACCTCTCATCTTTTGATGTCAGAGTGCGACACTGGAGCAGTCGCAGTGGGCTGGTCTTCCTGGGTAGTTGCAAGATGGCCTGTCGTCAAGTATATATGAGATAGTTACATTAAACAATATTGATATATTGGGGTATGTTGATCTATAAGGTATGCAAGAAACTAATTCATAACGCATCATGAGCTTGATGATGGTGATGATGCTGATGATGATGGTGATGGTGATGATGTTGATTCAGATAGTGACCGTGCTGAGATATGTTGAAAAAGCATCCTTGTGCGGTCACGGACGCTTCTCCAAAGCCACTGTCCAGGAGTAGAATTGCAACATGGAGCTTGTCAGAATTTCGTGTCACTTGAAACATACACCTGAGATCACACATTTTCTGTTCCCCGTAGCGATGCCCGAAGCGATACCCCTCGATACCCAGAGCGATACCTGAAATCCATGAAATTAGGGAGTACCCCACATGGTCACTTGAAACTATACAACTTGTGCTATAGGTGGAAAAATATGGGAAGTATGAACAAGGTACCCTCAAGTTCTTACTGGGTTAGTTCTTAAAGGGTTCATTTGGTCAGGGTTTTGCCGATTCATTTTGGCGTGGTATTAGGTTGCAAAGGAGGCGGGGTGAAGAAAAAAGGCGCCGGAAACAAGGCAGCACAGGCAAGACAAGCCAAGACAAGCCAACACAAGCCAAGGGCAGCCTCCGAGGTCAGATGACCTGCAGTGAGTCCGGCTGGTGTCTAGCTGAAGCTGTCGACGTCAGCCTTGGTGATCAAGTAAAAGTTTGAATTTCCCTGGAGATACCATCGCAAGGGGAATAAGAATCCGATTCCTCATCTGGATCCTCCTCTTCTAGCAGCAATTCTGCCTAGTTGGTGAAAAGGGTGCTGGGACTGTGTGTAGCGATAGGGGGCCTTATGAAGCGCTGCCATGACCTCACCACATGAATTGAGTTTTGACCGTCGCACATATGGAACCATTGATCCCAAAACCTGCTCAGCTCGCCTCAGCTCCATCAGCTCTGCTCGATAGGCTGCGGATGAACTCCTTGCGGCGTCACCCAAGGACCGGCGCTTTGGAAGATACTGCAAGTTGTGAAAAGTGTAGGTGTACAATATTGTACAATTGTGTACAACATTGTACAGCACGGTATATATATATATATTTATGTTATACAAATAGGTCGATATATACATTGACATAGAATATATGATATCAAAGTATATATAGTAGATAGATTATATGACACACACACACACATATATATATATAGAAATTATATATATATATATACACAGTATTATACGGTATGGTTACATATATAACTATGGCTACAGTAGGACACTTGTGTGTACTTGTGTGTCTCTAGGCATAAATGTGCGTCATGAATTAGTTTCAACATGTTTTAAGTGTCCGGCAGGTGCTCCCCCGATACGCCATGCCGCCATGAGTTGAATGTTGGAATTCCCAATCTTCCATTTTTTCGATCTAGCTCAAAACATGTAGCTGGCTCAATTTCATCAGGGGTATGTTTTGACAGTCACCTTGGGTTTTTTCAGAGGTACCATATCTAGTACTAAAGTAATCAGTGGGGATTGAACCTGGCAATTTAATGCAATTTAACAGATTGGGAAGTTTCTGCGAGCTCGCTCAACTGCAACGAGCTGGCTCAGCACCATCGAGCTCGCTCAATGCCACGTAGCTGGCTCAGGGGCATCGAGCTAGCTCAATGGCATCGAGCTGGCTCAATTTTTTTAGCGAAAAAAAAAAAGAAAAAAAAAAAACCTCGCAGAAATTGAGCCAGCTACGTCACGTTGAGCTGGCGGACGAATGTGAGAGCATCAAAACGAATACTAGCTATGTATTGGCCGGGTTCATGACGCATTGGCGAGCCGGCTCAAGGGCATGTAGCCGGCTCAATTTCTGCGAGTTTTTTTTTTTTTTTCGCTAAAAAAATTGAGCCAGCTACGTGGCGCTGAGCCAGCTACGAGGCGCTGAGCCAGCTACGTGGCATTGAGCCAGCTACGTGGCACTGAGCCAGCTACGTGGCACTGAGCCAGCAAGGTAGCTTTGAGCTTTGAGCTAGCAAGGAGGCAGTGAGCCAGCAAGGTAGCTTTGAGCTTCATCATATATATATATACACCTATGCAATCCCAACCATGTAATATACTAGATCTAGGGAAAAGCAATTTTTTTGAGGGAGACACGTACCTTTGAGCTGGAGCGGGAATGTGAAATCTAACATTCGAATGAGAGGCTCGCCCGATGCTGACATCTGACATGTCAAGGTTGGAGGAGATTTTCGCAGTGGCTGAGTTGCAGGCGCTGGAACTGAGGCTATGGAGGCTATGGAACTGCTTAGGATTTTGGATGGTTTTGGATTTTGGGGCAGCTGAGGATGAACAAAAGTTTGTTTGCGATTGCTTTGTTGGCCCTTTTTGTATATCAGGGTCGGTACTGTACTTGAGCAAAAGTAGTCGAGACCACGCCTGATGTGTTCCAAGGGCACAACTTTGGGATTTGGCATCCCGTCCATAGATTACAATGATTTACATACCCAAATCATCCAAATCCCCATACTTGGCCGCTCTTCCCAACGTGATGATTCTGTATCAGCTGCCTCCCCAGGTCATCCGGGGTGGCTGGCAGATTCTCATTGTCTCAGCCTCTGCTGCAGCGTGGTTGACGACTCAGAGCCGGCAGCGATTCCGGTTGACAAATAGTTTCGTGAGTAAACCATGGCAAAGCATGGTAAAGTCTGGAAAACCATGTTGCTTATGGATCTTCTCCTGAATCTCGATTCTTGATATGGGTGATTGGATGTGATTAGCCATCAAAATGTGGGAAACATTGGCAGCTAGGTCCCGAAGTGAAAGATGTGGGATGGTGGACGAACGCCATTGAAGCCCCTTGTGGGATGACTTTGTCGCCTGGCAAGGCTGCAGCTTTCTTGACTTATTGCTGCTTTCAGCCGGAGGTGCGGTGGCTGGTACAGCGGGCTTAGGTATGACCACGCGAGCTTCTCAAGGCTATTATGATTATTATGAACATTGGATTGGCAACCTATGTAAATATAAATGATTATAAATGTACACATTATATATATATATGTGTGTGTATGCGTGTGTGTGTGTATGCGTGTGTGTGTGCATGCAATGCTTCATCCTGATATGACCTTTTTTGGCACACTTGCTATTCTCAATGCTTTTGCTTCTAATATATCATATCCAGATCGTTTGGCACCATGGCAATGAAACAAATGCCCATAGCGGCTAAGATGCCATTGTTACACCAAATCGATGTGGGTTAGCTGACAGGCTGACAGGCCAATACCTTCATGGGCTGCCAATAGAAGCTGCCAGTGGGACACCGAGACGATCTGTTCGCATTCGCGGGGAAGAGATGCTGCTGTAAGAGGAGGTGGCTGTTGCATGCTGCTGGGTGTACCAACAGTAGAGTAGTGGATTCAAAGCTTTCAGGCTCTCCTGCCGTTCGGCAGCCGGTTCAAAGGCCCCCATGATGTAGCCAATGGGGTGATATTGAAAGATATAGACCTATTTGCATAATATATTTGCAACTACTGTACTCAGTTTGGGTTTTGGGGTTGATCATCATGATTTTGTTGCGCAGACAAGGGGCTTAATTAGTGGAGATCTCATAGAATGATTTTGGCTTGAGATTGCTGGACATGGAAAAACTAGGTCAATCCTGGTAAGGCCACGTGTTGCTGTGAAGAAGCGGTACCTTCGAGCGCATGAACATTTGAAGGTGCTTCAGCGGAAAAAAATATAGACAGTGGATGTTTGCAGAACTCATGTAAGTTCTCAGCAGGTGGTGTTCAGATGAGATCATAGCACAATGGGTGGATGTGTGAATCCAAAAAGTTGCCGTCACGACCACCTTGATGCTGACCTGCAGTGCAGTTTCAGAAGGTGCATATGGGTCAGACTTGGGGCATAACCACCCAAGAAAAGGACATTTGCATTGACTAGAGACACACACACACATATATATATATATATGTGATATACATTAATGTACGAATCTGCATCTCTTTAATATCTGCCGCTGCTGCTGCTACCCAAAGAGCCAACTATATGTTGAATACTTAGTACTTTTGCTGCCCAAATAACCTGTCACTCCGTGGTTCCCGAGATCTTAATCTCAGATCCAGCCTCGAGGCGCAGATCAAAGGTAGCCAGGGCTTACACCTCAGCCACAACTCGTGGTGTGGTGATGCTTGGAAGTGGCAGGATATGAATTGAATATTATGTATATAAATATATAGAAGCATGGTATATATATATATTTACAGCATAACATTTTTTTTTTATCCATTATACTGATGCATTACATATTACAACCTACCAAACACTATATATATATACTAAGTACTACATGCAATGCATATGTCTGTAAAGTAGTATAGAGTGTATGATCAAAACATATTTGAAAACCAGTGCAGATACAGAGGGCAGGCGTATGGATGTATACAATGGCATACGGACTGAACTCGGAATGCATTACATAAATAGCACTGTTGTGTTAGTTGCTGGATGAATTGCGGTGAATCAGGAGCCTTTGTCACCTCCTGTGCCGTTGCGTACTGGATCACAGCATGGGGGTGTGCCCTTCGCAGACCGCAAAGCACGGGACAGGCCCGGGCATGGCAGCACGTTTTTCCGTGGCGGGCTTTTGGAGTGATGAATTGTTGTGACATGTTGTGACTTTGCTCAGTTTGGTGGCAATCCATGGCAATCCAAATTGTGTTTTTTTTTGCTTGGAGGCCTTGGGCTTTGGGCACCCTACGTCTGCGACCGTGTCCATGTTTTCATGTCGTATGCGTGCTTCTCAGCGGTGCTGAAATGACAGTGGTGACAACATTCGATGTGTCTTTGAAGGAAGGGTTGGTGCACAGTCTTCTGAGTCTTCTGCATCAGCTTTCCGAATTCGTTCTTATGATTTTGGGGAAGATGTGCATTCTCTTTCGGTCTGAGAGTCAGCACATGCCAAACATGCATGCTAATGCCCTTGCCAAGCCCAATGCTCAAACACTTACTGTACTGTAATCCTCACTTATGCAGATGCCCTCGCTCCAGTCTCCAGTCCCTTCATGTCTGCCATAACACATGTCCAACTGATGTGCTGTATCACTGTTTGACCATCGCGATCTCATCAGTGTCTTTGCATGTCTTGGCAGCATGTTGTTGTGCCTTGCAACCACACCCAGCTTTGAATGAACATTCTGAAGACTGAATGCCATGTCTTTCTACGATCCAAGTGCCATCATGCACATACCAGTGATTCCTGTTCGGAAGAAATGATACTTCAAAGCAATTTAAGGCATATACTGGTATGTGTTGCACAATGTTTTGAATTGTTTGGTCTGTGGTTCTGGTGAAACCTGCTCATTGAAACTTTCCTTATCCTGTCCAGGTGTTCCGAGAATCCCTTCAACGCCATGTTTGGGGAGCAGGGCAAAGCCGACAAGGCTCAGCTCACATTCGAAGTCCTTGTGACAACCTTTCTTACTCCTTGTCTCTCGTTGTAATGGCATGCAATATCGATTTAAATCATGCTGCGGTATGTCACTCCAACCTTTTCACAATGGAAGCTCTTTGGCCATACCAGGAGAAAAAGAAGAAGGACTCGCAGCCTGGAGGGTTGATTTTCTTCTATGGCAGGACATTGTAGCTTAGAGCAAGTAGTGGTGGACGCCTGCAAGCTCGCAGAAACTACACCGACTGTTGCTTGTGCCTTGCGAAATGCTGGAAAGAATGTACCTGAATAATATGTTATAATATGTATAATTATACAGTCTTCATGAAGGAACGACATACTGGCCTAATGTAAGTGTTTGTATATGTTTACTTATCCAAACAAATTTGCGTTAATGATGCACACAACAGTACAAAATACCGCTTGAGCACCCGTCCCACTTCTGATTGAACCTGTGATCAGACCAATATGTACTGAATTATGTTGCGCGCTTCGATGTCACATGCATGATTGCATACACATCATATCATCAAAATGCAATAGTCACACGGACACTTCTAGCAACTTCGAGATCATTATATTTTTGGTGTGCCTATAAATGCTAGGGAGCAGATGCAAGAGAGGTACAGCTGCGATTGAATCTTATATAATTATATATATATGTATGTATATATATATACATGGATCTATACATATACATTTATTTGTATTTGTGTGTGTGCGCACAACTGATATGTGTGCGTGCTCCTGAGTCCTTCAAGATGTCTCCCTTCATCAGCCTGTCACACAAACTAATAACATCTATATAATAACTAATCTTTCGCCAAGTGATGTTAAGTTGGCTGGCTGCGCTTGCAGGACAAGCGCCGAACCTCTAAGAGGAATGAGGGATCCTTTCATCCTCGGACTGATGATGAGGCGATGCTCGTGTGAGAAAGAGTTTGTCGCCTCAATCAAAATGGATGAAAGGGAATTGCCTTGTTGGAAGTTGGAAAGGGGTTAATTAACATTATTTAATACTCATTATTTACATGATTCATGCTACTGTATGCACCTCACGTTACGTGCACGAGGGACCGTAGAAGCCACTTTCCAATCGTTAACTGCCATGTGCAGGTTGCGTCTGCGGTCAGCCGCTGGATAAGGCCTGGTTAATTGGGAGGTCGCTTGATGACCAGGCACCCAGACCGCCTATGCAATTTATATAATACACCATCCCCAGGATTGGAGTTAGGGCAATTTTTTCACGAATCTATTGTGCTGGCAAAAACCAAGGGTCGCCTCGAATATGGCATCCGTGCCTCAGCATCAAAAGTAGGGATGCAATTTTCCATTCTATAGTGCAACAGCATGCGGGACGGAAGTTGGATGTTGGTAATGTTTTTTTGTCCGTAACAAAATTGGAGGTTGAAACTGGAAATCCTTGTGAACGTGCCATGATGAGATCTTATCAGCGCTTTTGGCCTTCGCCAAAAATTGGGGCCACCTACCGCGCCGGCGATGGCGCCCAAAGTGGCCAGCAAGCGCAAGCGGGAGCAGCAATGCGAAGCTGAGCAAGTGCATTGGTGGACTGGGAAGGACTTGCAACTTGGGCTTCCAGTCGAGATATTCCCCTTTGTTTGGAGCATATTTTACTTCCAGGCCATTTGGCGATGATTACCCAAACTGATCAATTTTGAATTCTTCCATGTTCTTCCTCACCGTCACCTGTTAAATTCTTCCTTGCGGAAGCCACCGACAAGTTTTCATTTGCATGTCTCAAACAAAGGCTCATGGCTACATGACGAATGTGTTTTCAAAGATGTGTATACATTTGCATGTCACCCTGCCGTTTTCACATCAACGTGTTTCAAGAATGCAAGGGCTTGGTTGGCTACAATGTTGGAACCCCCTTTGCAAATGAAGACAACCAAGTTGCAGAGACTCCGCTGTCATGCCATCATTGCTGAGGCAAGGTTTGAAGGCTTGCTTCAAGAAGGAGCTAGCCCTTTTCCTCAAAGGATCCTTTGTCGATCCCGAACATTGGTATCAGCGCAAGTTTCTGCCTCTTGACACCGTGATTCTGCTGCTGTTTACTTGAGGTGTTCCATGATGTTCCAAGGAGAAGGAGAATCCCATATGTATTGGTAGAATATCTGAGCACCTGAATTCGTTGTAATTTCTGTAGGTAGGGGTGCCCATACTTTTGTATAAGCGTGTGCCCATGCGTTTGCTGTGTTTGGGTTGCCATGCTTTGGCCACAACTCAGGCACTTTCAGCGCAACTATGCTGAGGTGCCAGGCACGGCCCAGCTAAAAACGTTTATTGTAAACATGTTCAAACTTTAATTTACACATTTAACCGTTAAACTTGAAGCCGTTTAAACACGTTACAGAGACCTGCCGTTTAACGTTTTTATCTATATATATATAATCATTTTCCACTTGGGCCCAGGCACCCCTATTGTTTAAACATGCTTCGCTTAAACAGCGTTTAAACACACGATTCGTTTAAACCGTTTCAACAAGGAGGAGGCTCAACCCTGGTACCAGGCCTCCTTCGCTTATGCAACGATGAAATCGATCAGATCAACGACATGGTCAACGAGCACATCGATAAAGTTCTTTCAGAAGGTCCCTCAAACTGGAAGGAGCTAATGGGAGAAGGTGAGGAGATGTTGGGCCCCTTCTTGCTGTGTGAGCCAGAAGAACACAAAGGCTTTCTGAGAATTCCCCGCCCAGAGAGGGCAGGAACTTTTGGAAGCAAGGATCCTCACAAACAGCTCCCGAAAGAGCTGTCAGCCAAGGTGGAGCATGCTCTTTTCCAGTGGTGGCACGGCTGCTCGACAGAACATTCATCAACAGCCTATTTAGCCTTGGTTCGCTAGTTACGATTTTGAAGCAGCTGGGGGATATCAGATGGCATCAACGCAAGTGACATCAAACGACAATGATTTGGTAACGCGGCGTTTGTTTGCTTTCTGACATTACGTTTCTCTCGTGATCTCTCTTGTCATTTCTCCAGGCGGTCATTCATGTCATTCTGATCTTAATGTCAAAGGCTTGGGATGGCTTGGGGGTCTCCCTGTGCGAAATGTGTTGCGTGGATATCTCAGGAAATGTACGCGCTTGGGTGGTGAACGCTGAGCAGGATTGCTTTGCATTTCACTTCTCTCAAGGGCTGTGGGGTGATTCTGCAGACCATGTCGAGATCAAAGTTGTAGGCAAGCCTGCTCGAGCGGCAGTGCACTTTCTGCTGCCCCATTCAGAGCCGCTGGAGACATTAGCCAGCATGGCAGACGCTGGGCATTTCAGCTAAAGCGCACCTTCTCTCAACTCTAAAGTTGTTTGTTGGGTCTGAAGACCTTAACCTTTTTTGGCGACCAGCTTACTTTGGCTCACTGAGAAACATTGTACAGGTGGATGTGGAAATCGGTTCTGTTTGCAATTGATTGGTTCAGTTCCATGCGGGAAAGCAATTGGGGTAAGTCGGTACTTTTTGCGTTTAGCTTGGGTTTTGCATGACAGCTTGAAAGTGGCACGTTTAAATCTTGCAGCAACTTCAATGGGTATACCGGTATACCAATGGAAACTATTGTATATAGATGCTGTCCTGACAGCCATTTCTGCTCAAGAAAATTGTGAAGTCTGGCGTGCTCAAGACCCACCAGTCACGACAGAAGTGGCTATCCGCTGAGAAATACAATCGTGCTTTGCGACATGTGAAGAAGTGAAAAGGATCCTGCTGCTGTCTCTGGGAAGCGTGGTGCAGATTTAGATATCCAGTAGCTGCGATTCCATGCAGGAAAAACCTATGAAGACATAGAATTAGCAGAATTATTCCATTAGCGTTCCATGCAGGAAAAGCCTCTGAAGATACAGAATTAGCAGAAATATTTCATTAGCGTTCCAATAGGAACTAACATCTCCAGTATCATTTTGATGTAGATATTTGGCCCCAGCGTTGAAGCGTTACCAATAGGATTTCTGATCCAGGTCCCGCCTTTTCTGACTTCGACGTAACCGGTGCGTTCCATGCAGTTGCACCAACCCCGCGGTGTTTAGTCCTGACTTCCACGGGTGCCTGTAATTATTGTATATTCATCCATGGATGTTTTCACCAAGTGATTTTCTGACCCAACGACCCTCATGTGGAGACTGAATGAGACTGACTAACCATACCAGTATGGTTGTTAACCACTACTGATTGGGATGATCCTCCAAGTATCAGGTAGTGTGTCATGCAGGAAACCTACATTCATAGAATTGTGCAGAGTATAAAGTGGGCCCTTTGTATGCAGAAGTGTTGGACCTTCTTTTTGAACAAGACTTCTGCCTACCAAAAAACATCTTCGCTTTCCGAGACTTGAGCCACAAAAATGTCTCTTTGGAGCTGTTCTTGATTTCATGTCGGTATTCCCAGCGAATGTAGGTGGAACGAACGGTGGACCATCAGTCTCTTTTGCAAGGCCCATCCTTGGTTCCATCATGTTCCATCATGTTCCATCAGTCCAGCTGAAAGAGTCAGCAAAGATCATCAACGATCCAGCAAGTTTGAGGTGCATGATTTTCCGCTTCCTACCTTTGAAATTGGGACTTTTGAAACGACGAATACCGGTACCGAATACCTTTCATAATGGATAGAAAGCACAAGCCGGTTTGGAGGATTTGGTCCAAAAAGTCATGGTCAACCGTTCCTTGCATGATCGGAAGAGATTGAGCCACAAGTTGGGAGATGGGAGATGGGAGAGGTCGAGCCACAATTGTAGCTGCTTGATCACTGCTTGCTGTGAAACACAAGGTCTTTCTCATCATGCCTTGTTCATGCGATCATAAGATATCCATGTGCAACTAGTCTAGGGATGCATGCATTAGGGATTCAAGTCTATGTTCAAGCATGTCACGACTGTTCAGCAAAAGTGCCCCCTGATGCCTGACAAGATTCAGAAACAAAAGACAATCCAATACAGGAAGAGAGAATTACATATACATATTGCAGAATGAATGTTTACAGTGGCTTTGAGTCATTTTAGCTCAGTTTAAGATATATAATGATATATACTGTATATTGTTCTCCCAGTGTTTGATTGTTTCCCACCGTTTCTCATTTGAAATCGATTGAGAACGATTGGGGTGTATTGGGCTTAGCTGACCTGTGGAGACTTCCCGTCCCCTAAGACCAGCTCCGTGAGAAGCGTTTATAGAAAGTGGTCGGGAACTTCTTAGGTCCAGGGTTCTATATGTTAACGCCACGGTACACTTCAGGATGAGCACATCATCATGAAGTGGCAAGAGCGAAGTGGCCGAGACGAGGAATACTATGGCTCTTGGCTGCTGGAGGTCATTGATGGTCACCGGGAAAAGCGTATCCGACAAGTCATTTCTGAGCTTAAAGACATCAGATGTCCCATGGATGCAGATCCACAGATACTGCGCAAAATCCAGGAGCCAAAATTTCTTCATTGAGTCCAGTATGGGTGCTATTGGACTAATCAGGTGCCATTTTTCCATAACTGATCATACTTGTAACTGGTTGGAATTTCCCTTGGAAGTGCGCAAGATCAGTGTGGCACGAGCTTCATTAAATCCATCATGTTTTGTTGCGGGAGGGTCCGGAGTAAAGAAGGGAGGGCCAGATCCAACACCATTCCATACCATTCCCAAGGAAGATTGTGCGATGTGGCTGAAGCTGCCATTTTTTAACCCCTAGGCAAGGAGTATGTGCCAACCACCAGCCAACTACTTCAACTAAGTGACCCATGATGGTTCATGCACTTGCGTAGGAGCTGGAGCGGACAATTTTCCAGCACACTGGATGGATGCAGATGTTCGACTTCCGAAGGTTGATTGACTTGAAGACTCAATGCAGGGGCATCACAGAGCAAGAAGGGCATCGCATCAAAAGGAAAATGGAGCAGTTTTTTCCAGTCAAGCGCTTTGCTTCCTGCAACGAAGAGTTCCTTGGATATGCTGAAGGTGATTTTTCCCGAAAGCTGATGCGACTGGCTTTTCCAAAGAACTGCAGCCAAATTCAACTTGTCATTTTATCCATAACATCCCTACTTTCTCTACATCATCTACGTCTACTTCAACTTCACCTCCTGCTTCCTACATCACCTACATCATTTACATCAACTTCATCAACTTCATCAACATCACATACATACATCACCTGCATCATATACGCCAACTTCATCTACATCATGTACATCATTTGCATCATTTATACAGAAGTTTTTACACAGTAGTTGTTACGCAGGACTTGTTACATACACAGGAGTTGTTGTACAGCAGTTCTTGGACAGAAGTTGTCATACGGGAGTCGTTACACAAGAGTTAAGTTCTAGGTGACGTACTTGCATCTGAACTCCTACAAAACTCCTGCTCAAGTTCTGAATTTCTTTCTCTTGGCAGCAGGGGCAGCCAGGCGGTGGCTTACGAAACGCAACCCCCTAAACGGCAAAAACTGCAGTAAAATTGTGATTTTACAACGTCATAGGGAAATGTCGAAAAATTGGCGTAAAATGGCAGGTGTGAAAGATCAGATGCAACCATTTCGCTCGAAATGAGAGCCGGACATCACAAACTGGTCTAAAGTTGCGATTTTGAAACCTTCGATGCAAGCCTCTCGCACGAAATCAAGGTAAAAGCTTCTCTGTGTAAAGGCTTTTGTGTGTAAACGCGTCTGTGTGTGTAAAAGCGTGCCTGTGTAAAGACTTCTCTGTGTAAAAGCTTCTGTGTGTAAAAGCTCCTCTGTGTCAAAGATGTGAAAAGGCTTCTCCGTGGAAAAGCTTCTCTGCGTACAAGCTCCTGTGTGTAAAAGCTTCTGTGTAGAAACGAGTCTGTGTGTAAAAGCGCGTCTGTGTAAAGACTTCCCTGAGTCTCTGTGTAAAAGCTTCTGTGCGTAAAAGCTCTCTGTGCTTCTCTCTGCAAAGACTTCTCCGTGCAAAAACTTCTGTGAGTAAAAGCGTGTGTGTGTGTGTGTGGGTAAAAGCTTCTGTGTGTAAATGCCTCTGTGTGTAAAAGCGTCTCTGTGTAAAGACTTCTCTGTGTCATGACTTCTCTGTGCAAAAAGCTTCTGTGGGTAAACGCGTCTGTGTAAAAGCTCCTCTGTGTAAAGACTTCTCTGTGTAAAATCTTTTGTGCGTAAAAGCTCTCTGTGTAAAGCTTTGAAAAAACTTCCGTGCGTAAAAGCTTCTGTGTGTAAACCCGTCTGTCTCCAACAGCTGTTCTGTATAATGATTTCTCTGTGCAAGTAAAAGCTCTGCTGTCTAGAGACTTCTCTGTGTAGAAGTTTCTCTGTGTAAAAGACTTCTATGTGTAAAATCCTTCTGTGTAAAGACTTCTCTGTGTAACAGCTTCTGTGTGTAGAAGCACAGTCCATTACATGGAGCAAGCGTCTTCTCTGCAGCAAAATTCGGAGAGGCGGCAGTGGAACATGGATATGAGACTGTGAGACTGATTCTCCGGCTGGTTTTGTTTGGGTGCGCAGTTCACTGACGACACATGTTCTAGATGCCGCAACCGGCCCCAAGAAAAGCGAACTTTTGGTTTCCTTGATATCTTGCCAGGTTGGGCTACTACCGACTACTACCCCTGAATTGCCTTCTTTCATCTTGCGTTCACTGAGTCGCTGAATAAGAACGGATTGCAACACCAAAAAATGGAGCGAGGGTTGTTTTTAGCTCGGATTGCGGCTTGTTTGATCCATCCTTTCTGTGGGTTCGAGTTTCCTTTCTGCTCTCGTAGCCAACATGCGCCATGTCTTGCTTCTTAACACACAATCCAGACGACACAACTCGTCACAAGAAAACGTGCGTGGTGGTCTCTTTGATGTGCTGCCTGGTTGAATATGAATGGCTGTTGACAAATGTCGCAAACTAGTGCTACTCAGCTGCTTTTTTTTCCATTTTGCGTTTAGTGGACGTGTGACCGGCAGGTATGCGTGAAAAAGCCGGGGTGACAACAGTTGGACGTCGAGTTGTGGCTGCGTAGATCTAACTTTCTTAGGAGTCTTTCTTTGCCTTTGAGCTTCAGTTCCTGTCTTGCAGCCAAGATGCAGCATGCTTTGTTTCTTGACACTGTATCGTGATTCCCTGGGGTTTTCCCAGTCATCTGACTAGACAGCATTGAAATATACAGATACATGTATGACATGATCATGTGACATGATATCATCTAAATAATTTCATTATCACTATACTATATAATATGATTATACATCCACAAGTGGTCCATAAGTCCATTACATCAACCACCTGCTTCATCTGCCATCATCTTTCACCATCCGTCATTTTCATATATTCCCCTCCATCCTCTTTTGAGCTACTCCCTCCTGTTTTTCTTTCGGGCCACACTGTCGTCTAGTTTATGTTCCCATTGGTCCATACCTTAAACAAACCCAAGGTTAGGAGAGGGGCCGGAGGAGGAGTATCTGCAGGATCCAACGTGCCGGGTTCTCCCAGCGCCAGAGGATCAGCAGCTGCTCGCCCACATGAACTGCTTGGAAGAGGCTCAGGCTAGCTCTGGCCAAATCGTTCCATCCCAACACACACAGACACACAGACACACAGACACAGAGACACAGACACACAGAGACAGAGATGCACAGAGACGCACAGAGACACAGAGACACGGAGACGCATAGACATACAAAAACACAGACACACAGAGACAGACACAGACACACAGACACACAGAGACATAACGCATGTAAACTGCAAGGCTTGACCACTTTGGTTTTGGATGTGCCTTTAAAAACCGTATCTGTTGTTTGTTTGGAACCAGTCGCAGGATACTGGTTGATCTGGTTGCTTACCACTTCAATTTGCTATTGCCAACTTGATTCAGCTCAATCACCAAAGTCCCATGACATCCCTTCAGGTGACCGTCAAACTGAGTTGGATCAAGCTGTGGGACTGCGAGTTGCGAGTGGAAGTGTTAGCACGGGTCCCGAAGGATTACAAACGCCCCTACCAGCTGGTGCGAATGAAGCCGGGCGACCGGATCAACCACCTTGCTGCGATTTGGAGTGATGAAGACCAAAGGGTCTAAAGGTGCCTGAGGAATGCGGGTGGACGAAAAGGGGATGGTTTGGATGGGCTGTGGGTCCAGGATGATGGCCCAGTGATGATTCCTGCTGTGCATTCCTTCCCTTTAGTTGGTTTGGTTAAATGATTTGAGCAGCCTTACGGATAGATTGACGTCATCAAGAACTACCCAGCCACTGATGTCACCCTGCGGCTGCGCGGCTGTTGCACGCTTCTGCAGCTCGCAAAGAGTTTACGATAGGGACGGGTATGTACATTAAGTGTCAAAAAGTATTAACAAACCACCTCAAAAACATTCAAGAACACGATTAAAACATGTTTGAGTCACGGCATGTTGCAACATCAACCAGCAGAAGCATCAGCCATGCATAGCCATGCAGTTTCCCGACTTTTGGTTATCATCTATCCCCCTGTACTCAATGACCAGCAATGGCAGCTGGTTTTGTATAATTCTTGCAGGCACGCCCATCCACGGGCCAACGACTTCTTCACCTCTCAGCAGCAGCTACATGACGTCCTGACACAGTTGGCGAAGGTGGGGATGGAAATTGACGATTAAGCACCTTGATTGATCAGCTAAAAATACGTGTTTGGGAATGTAAGATGTTGTAACATGTTGTAACGTTTGAACATGGACAGACTTAGGGATTTAATGTGTCAAAATGGGGGACAGAACTTGGATTTGATTATGATTAGCAAAGATAGGTAAGGATCAGGCTTCTAAGATACAGTGGGCGACACAAATGTTGGCGGGGTTCCGGGCCATCACGTGCCATCCCCATCTTTCTTTGAGGGCATCGACAGAGAAGATGACCCCATTCTAGGTGGCGATGAGAAGTTTTGAGCTCAGACATGCAGTAGAAAGATGCAGGAAAGTTATGGGAAATCAGTACTTTTTTTGAGGACTCAAACCCGCTTATTGCTTTCACGTTCATTGACCGCCGCATTTTTGAAATCAGCAGGGTTTTGCTGCCACGGCGGAGAGATGGTTTCATTTGAGACCAGCCCCACCGTTGGGAGCCTCCAAGGTGTGTCTATTGGTACGGAGATGTAACAAAAGAAGATCTGCAGGCGGCCATTCGGATGGCCCTGGGCTGAGACAAACTAAGGGATGTTAAGAGTCACTGGAGCGAGTGGGGGGAGAGTCTTTTGAAGCATGGGGGGTCCAACAGTGTATTTGCATGTAGACGCTATAAATTCCATTAATTTCCGATATACAGCAATCTCTGGTCGTTGGCCCTTGAGAGACATTTGGTCCAGTTTGGTGTGTTGATGTTTGTGTTGTGGTGGCGGTCGCTCTTTCGTTGTTGCTCCCAAGGTGAAACCAGGCGAAAATGCCGAATCGGTCACTTACGTCAGCCTGGCAGCAGTGTTCTGCTTTGACATCATATGAATTTTAGGGGCTGGACTGCCCTGATGCCACATAGATCCACATACTAGTAGGCCATAGGTACCTGAATGTCACTGAATGTCAGCCATGATGTCCACAGTTTCAACCTTTGGATCGAGGTGAACCGAGTGCTAGCTTTCATCTTTGCCACAGATGAATCTTTCGATAGGCTGCATGGCTGAAGCGGGCATGTAGCTGGCACGAAGGCTGCATGGTCTTCGTGTTTCCGGACAGCTCATACATCAATTGTCAATAATATGGTGCTATAGGAATGCCAACACGTTAGCATGTCAAGAGTATGATTTGATATCATACAGAATCTTGAGGAAGAGAGGCACGTCATCGGGTATCCCAGGGTGTCCGATATTGATAGACGATATTCATGATGCTCAGCCGTTTCAAGTGTAAGTGGGCTCCCACTTCAGCAGAAGGGGAACCACCTTGCCAAGCCTTTCAGGCTTTGAAGGAACCAGATTTGCAGTGCCAAAAGTGGACTTTCAAGGGGATGGCTCCCATGGCAACAAGAACAGAGAGTATATTATGGTGTATCAATTACTCAGGACTTAAGATTCCCCACCACATGCTTCTAGCCAAGTTTCTGCAAATTAGGTTTGCCACGCCTTGGAACTGAGGCTCATGAAGCTGCCAAAGGATCGGGAACTGGGCTGTGGGCAGGTGGCTGAAGTTGAGGGGAGATTCAAATGAACACAACGAAGAAGAGATACGGACCAATGTGACCTGGTTGAAATATGTTGATGGTTGGCTTGCATCCAGCATCATCCAACATTACCAAAGGATAAATGTGCTTTGGGACCAAGGCGTGGCGGCCCAGCTGGCCGACTGACTGAATGCACATGAATTATATATATGCATGAATGTAATATGAAAAGCGTGTGAGCAAATCAGAAATGATTACAACACAGCTCTCAAACACAATTAGCTGGCGACTGCTTGCTGAAGTGCATGTTTCAAGCATCCAACAAATGGTTTGGAAGAGTCCTCTCAGGGGTTATGGGCAGCCGACAGGAGCCCTTCAAAATGAGTTGCGGTGATCAGCACGGGTCTCGGCTGGGAAGGGATATGAGTCCAACCATGTCACAGCAAAGAACCTTTGTGGCCCTAGTGCCACGTACACCATGATGCTCCATCATGTCGATCTCAAGAAAGCAACATGCATGGAAGAACAGAAGAAGCGCATTGGCATCACATTGGCCGACTGAATCCTGTGCTGAGGCTGTGTGTGAACCTGTCACACATTTCAGTGGAAACTACTTCATCATGACAAGGAAGATCAACGAGGTCCGTGTTGTGAGCGGATTACCCCATGCAGGTTCCACAGGTGAGTGGAATTGTGAATATGGCGTGGGTCTTAAAATATATTCGCAGCATGCAGTGGGTTGCAAAGTTTTCGCATTTTTTTGATGCCTAATTTATTTTTGTTTGGGCCCTTTGGTCATTATTTTTCATCCCTAATATTTTTTGATCCATCTCCCTACATACCACCTGTTCGATCGATAATCGATCATGACTCAATGACCATGCATCAACCCCGGCTACCATTGGGATCCTTTAACCAGATCAGGCAGAGGAGCAGCCGCAGAAGTGGCGGCCTTTGCCGGACAGCTGCATCCTGATGCCGGGAATCGCGTGGTAGGATTCGGCCTTTAGCAGCCAGCGCCATGAAGCGTTGCCACATATGTTTCCTCGTGTCAAATTATGGTGGTTGATGGTGGTTGACTGTGGTTCACTGCATGTTGTGACATGTATCTAGAATTCTAATGAATTCTATAGGTCGTCCTTAGATGTTGGAGGTCACGAATCCGCCAGCTTGCCTTCAGCTGCATACTTCACATATCTTCACATAGAGAATCCTTGGAATGCAGCAGAGGGTTGACTTCGACCGGGGTTGATTATTGCCACATATTGCCACTGTCCGCAGTCCCAACTGATCCCTCATCATCTTCACAGCCACCCCCTGGTGTTGCTAGGGATCTAAAATAAGTCAGACGGATAGGGATTGAAGATGATTTAAGATGATTGCAGGAATTGCGAGCTGCATTCCTTGGAGCATTACACATGGATCAGTGGATTGGCATTCTTTTGTCGGAACAGCCTCCGAATCGATTTTGACAATGATCTTGGCCATTTTTTTTATATGGAAAACTTTGTCATGAAACGCTTCTGTCCAACAGCTTTGTCCGGCTGAGATTCAGACAGATGTTCAAAAGAGTTGCCTCTCCACACCAGGCACCAGCTCAATTGAGTCACAGCGGTGAGAGACCGTTGTCATAAGAGCTTCCTGCCCGATCTGGACGACGGATCGCACAGGTTCCGGGTTTTAGGGAAAAGGAGTGGGAAAAAAATGTTTCATTGGAGGCCGTGCAACATGAAGGGACCCAGGGACCCAGCAACTTTTTGAGTCAAACAATGGCAATGTCCAACCTGTGGCACCAAGATGCATCAAGGCCCTCGCTGGGAAGTCTCACCCAAAGAAGCCTCTCCGCAGGACGGACACGACAGGGGGCTGTCACCGCATCTGTATGTGAAATATATTGAACTACGATAACTACGATGGGAAAGGACAGTGGAATGAACACCAAGAATGCATCAGATCCCCAGGTTCATCCAGAGCTGCTGGAGTCTGCAGAATCTAACGAGCCCAAAGACGCTCAAGAACACAGACTTGTGTACTGTACTGTCTAGACTACTTATCGCTACTTATGGTATACTGTGGAGTTGGTTTCTTCTCTTCATACCCTTAGTTATTTTGGATCCGGAATAGCCGAGCACTTTTCTCCTATTTTCTTCATAAGTATTAGGCCAACTTCTTTTGAACCATCAACCCCATGGGGGGTCCATAGTAAGCTTGATTCTAGGCCAAATTCTGCGAGTCAGCAATGCAGCAAGGTCAGCACTTGATTTTTGACTATGTCAACAGCTGGCCAGCATAGCTTGATAATATTAAAATATATTATATAATGTTTTTTTGCTTGTTTTTATAACTTCGCTTAGTTTATCCAACATTAGCTATGGAAAGCAACCAATTTTCATAATAATTATTATATATACCAGCTTCTTCGAAGTGGCTTCGAATTGAAGCCTCTTCATATCAAAATGAATTGAGTCCACTTAGGACATATGTCTTCCATGTTCAGAGTCTAAGTGGCCTCTTTTGGATTTTGATATTGGGGTGGTAAGTGGCCTTTTGATATTCAACCTTTGATAAGGGGCATGTTGTGTTTGAGCCTAGGGAGTGATGATGATCCAAATGGTATGATCGGTTCCGCACTGGCCCCCACACAGCATCTTCCAGCACTGCACCTGCAGAAGGAACAACTGTGGTGGTTAGATCTGTGTAATTTCAACCATTGGGTTTATTCCAGGTGCAACTGTTTTACTCATCAAGAGTGCGCATTTCAGCGGCAATTGTGGCTCGCAAAAATTGTTTGCGCAAGTGACAAGGTGTGCAATAGTTTTAGCTACACATAGCACCAGGAATCACCAGGATATGATTTTAAAAAAACATGTGCATATGAAATAACAAGACATTTGGTCACCCTGACTTGACCCGGTGTATGCTATGGCAGCTGGTGATTCTGGGCCCAACCTCAAGGATTTGTCCTCTGATGGGAGGAATCTTGGTTGGCAAGAGAATTCCAATCATGAGAGAATTATATTTTCTTTAGCTGAATGGATTCAAAAATATATATGTTTGTAACTTAAGTGGATGCAAAACTGAATCACTTCAAATGCTGGCCCATATCTATGATTCCAACACCACCAGGCAAAACACCTGCCTGCACATGAGGCGGCTCCGAAAATCGATTGAACGGTATATGCCTGTGGAGCATGTGAAGGCTCAGCAGGAATTGGTCCCTGGTGGTGACATCAGGATAAAGGGCAATATGTGGCTCAGGAAAGCATGGGAAAAATGCAAAGTGGTTAGGGTGCTAAGGGAAGCGGAAGTTCGTAAGTTGGTACGACACCTGGATCACCGCCACAATTTGTGTTCCCAGGTTGCATCAATGGGATTTGGTTTAACTTTCACATGATCACACTAGTGGCCCATGAAGATAAGGCGATGCCCCCACCTAGGTTCTTCAAAGGACAAGGCTTCGCTTGATTCGTGGGTTCGGGAAGAGGCGTCCTGGCTCCAAAATTGATATGTAATCACCCTCGATCATATATAGTAATATAATCCAATTAAAATTCTTATATGGTATGTCAACTCTATAAGATCGGTTTGTTTTTGATTTGATTCTTGAATGAGGCTGCAAAATGCCACAAAGTTCTTCTTCGACATAGGAAGACAGGATCAACATCCAGACCATCAACTTCCAGCCTAGAAGGTAGACCACCGATGCTTGGACCCTTTCCATCCTACTGGGCCCATGATTTTCTGGTGCACCTTTCAGGTGTGCATTACTACCCCTATAGCTCAGGAACCCTGATGAACTAGAGACGCAGCCAATGTTCGATTTCCCGATCTTGGACGATGCTTCAATGCTTCTTGCCTTGGATTTAATTGGGAGAACTTTGGAAGGCCGGCCCAACCTTCCATCCAGCCCAGTCCCATGTCCAGCACCCATAGTGCACCTGGTCGATTTGTTCTTCCAAGGTTGGCATCTGGGGCCCTTCCTGACCAGAACAGCGATGAGGATTGACTCTCAAATATGTGGTTTCACCAAAAAAACATCTTTAGATTATATATCACCCTTCAACTTAAAAAAAACCTGATTTATGGAAGGCAGATGGTATACCAAAATATTTGCAATAGTTGTTTGCTACTTTCCACTTTCAAAAAAAAAGCAATCGGCAGGACGAGGAAGACCAGCAAAGAGGTCTCAAGAGGTCTGCACCCTGGGAGGCTGCACCTGACACAGAAGATGACTCCCACTCTGCCGCTACATCAGATAGCGAAGATGACTGTGACAGTGAAGATGAGACGCAAAAGACAAAAGACAGAAAGTCTGACCCAAAGAAGATCCGAGATGAGAAGAAAAAAAGTGAGCATAGCGACAAGGACACTGCCTCTACTGAGTATACTGATGACGAAGACAACGAAGAGAAGAAGGCAGGTGAGGATGGCAAGATGGACAAAGAGTCCAGTGATGAGGAGGATGATGAAGCGAAGAAGACAGATGATGATGGCAAGATGGACAAAGAGTCCAGTGATGAGGAGGACGAAAAAGAGA